AACGTGAAAGCTGGATTACAGATATTCAGGGTCTTATTTATATTACACATTATGCTTTTGAAATATATTTGAAAATGTCCACAATATAAAAAGTCCAGTTTTAAAAGTTGCAGCCCTGTGCTTGAAAATCTTCATAATGAAAAAGAAAAAAAGGCCAGTTTAAAAACAAATTGCAGCCTCTTGAGCTCTCTCTTTGAGAATTCTTTCCAAAGTCTGTGAATGGTTTATTAGCAATAGCTTTATAATACTTCATCTGATTTCTTTCCTTTGGAGGCCCTGGGAGTCTTTCAAAATTCCCCATGGCTCTTTCAAATTAATTTATCGCTTCATTTTTTGCGTTTGAATGATTAAGGTACAATCATCTCCCCGGGGATTTTTCTTTTTGTTAGCTGCAGTTATGCTCCGCAATTGTGATTAACGCAGTCCTCCCAGTAGGAGGCGCTGTCTTCAAAGCCTGGTTTCACCGTGCTCGTTAGAAGAGCTCATCCAGGCCTTCCTATGCTGTGCTCTCCCGGGAGACCTCTGCATCGCAGCCAATTTCCTGATGAAATCCGCTTCTGGGATGGTTTCACACCTCTGTGCTGCCAAAGTTGTGTGGGTTAGCATTTCCTCCACAATGCAGCGCTCCCATCTCAGCTGGTTTTGCTTTTTCCTCCTCCACTTAATGAGGTTCCTTAAACTAACCAGCACATGTGTACGCTACCCTTCCATCCCGGGGAGGATGCTTCAGGCTCTAATTCATTGTCTCGTTGTTACTGTTCGAGTTCGCCTCTTGCCTGTTTCTTCAGTGTGTATACCAAACTGGGTAATAGCAGTATTTGTGGGGCCCTCTTTAAGAAAAAGAGTTCCAAGTTTCGAATAAAAAAATAAGTAGGAAAATGAGTATCTATTTAGAAAAAATAGGTAAGTAAATCACAGCAAAGATAAATACAAACCATCAAGAAATTCAGAACTTTCCCTCCACCCATTTGGTGCAAGAGATTGAACCTAACACTAAGCAAACATTCTACCACTGAGAACGCCCCAAACTCGTTTTTAATTAACCGGAAACATCTCTAATGTTTTTCTTCCTGTTTTTTAAGCTACATAGACTTTGATCACTCTTCATACAGTAATTTTGGAATATTTTCTACAGAGAAGATTTAATGATATTCAGTCTTCCCTCTAAAATAGTCAGAATTCCTCTAATAAGTTTGTCAAATTGGCTTTTATTAATTGCTTAGAAAAGTGTCCACTTCGAGATGATTTATACTTGTGATTTCCCCCTTAAAACTGTACATGCCTGTGACTAGTTTTAATAATCTAAAGTTGTATAGTCATAGAAGATGAATCAAAACAAGTATTATAGTATTACACTTGTAGAAATCCTGGGCTGGCCGAATGGCTCAAGTGGTGAGGGCACCTGCTTAGCAATCATGGAGGCTGGAGTTCAAATCCCAGTACTGCCCCCCCTACCCCTATGGCCCACCCACCCACCTCCACAAAAAAAAAGAAAGAATACTGGAATTCTGGCTTTTTACATGCAGTTTTACCAAAACCTTATTTTATTTTTTTGTACATAGTATTTTTTAAAATTTTTTTATTGTTGTGCTGGGTGGGGGTACATTGTGGCATTTACAAAAGTTCTTACAATATATCAAATACATCACTCTTGAATTCACCCCCTCCACCATTCTCCTTTATCCTCCATAACCTTTATTCTAACTTTTATTTATTAAATAGCTATAGGGAGCATAAATGAATAGCAACTAACCACTGAATTTATTTGCAAATTCTAAGAAATAGTGCTAAGAAAAATGGTGTCATTAATAGTAGAAAATAAAATGTCTTTCTATCACTTAGGCATCTGTACCTAGACGACTAATAAGAATTTCAAAGTAAATGTCCAAAGCAGAATAGTATCATTACCCTAGATTAACATGGTCTGGAGTACAGTAATCACTCCTTAGTGCTTGGAAATGTAGATGGAATTTTCTTTCATTGTCACAGTGACTGTGACTTTAATTTTTTCTGAGACCATTTCTCCCCTCAGCATTGTGCCTGTGAATTTCATCTATATCAATGCAGGGAGCTCTTGTTTTTATCACTATATAGTATTTCAGTGTTTAATTACCCCACTAACTTAGTTACCCATTTTTTGTGGCAGACATTAGTTGATTTCCAGTTTCCTTCATTTACACACCATGCTTCTATGAATATTCTTGAGCTTGTTTTCTTGTGCATATTGGGACACTTCCCATTTCCCTAGAATATATTCTGAAAAGTGGACTTGTTGGTCTATTAGCTACGCACGTCTTTAACATTAGCAAATGTCAGCAATTTGCTCTCCAAAATGATTGTACTAAAGGTATATTGAGAAAGATGTGTTTTGCATGTCAGCCTACAAAGTCATGCTGTGAGAGATGGATATCAGCATGAAAGTCTTCTCCCAGTTCTTTACTGAAATGTGAGACTTCTTGGTATGCTGCCAGGAATTCATTTTCCCCAAGGGGTGTAGCTGCATGGAACTTGGCCCCTGGAAACCAAGACAGACAAGAAGAGACAAGAGAGCTAAGTGCTCCTCAGGAAGTTGTTTTCTGGTAATAGACTGCAGGTACTGTCTATTACCAGACATTGTGGCACAGAAAGGAGGTGCATTTGTTTATGGCTCTGTTTCTAAGCAGTTTGGGTCTTTTTCCTATTCCTGTGTCATGCTCCATACCAGGACATTAGTAGGCATGTAATCAAGGTTTGCTCAACAGATGAGTGGGAGTATTACAAACCACCTGGGAGGGTGGGAGGGAGTTCTTTCCACTCTACAAAGACAGAAAGCATGGGTAGGCCAGGAGAAGCTTCTGCAGTTATTCTGGGCCCTTTTGGGTATTTCAGGCAGCAGCATGGGTAACAGTGGGCAGTGGTAGTCAGTCCTGGGCCTTTGACAGCTAGGGAAGTAGCACAGGGTTTGGGTCTCAGAGTTGAGGCTGGAGGCCCCTGAATGGTGACACAGGATTCAGCACAGTTTCCACGCTGGGAGGAGTCTCTCCACCAGAGGATCCAGACCAGCTGCCAGCCACAGCCTGCCCCTGCTGCTGTGGTGAGCTTCAACCAGGCCCCTGAGCTTGCCTGACTTAATGCTGCCTTGCTATCCCGGAAGGTTTCTTCCTGACACCTGTGCTTCTCTTCATGTTACAGCTCAGCCAAAGTGGGCAAGTCTGGAGAGAAAGTTTTTATTGGGACCTGGTTATCAGGGAAGCTAGGACAGTGTCTTGTAACTGCTCCCAAAGTTCCTTGAGTAGCCTGCTCAAGAGGGAGGGGACAAGGGGATCTGCACCAATCACAGCAATCCTCTGATGCTTGCCCCATTATGTAAATGAAGGATTGTGTTTGCACCAGTCACTGGTCTTCTGTTGGGCTATTTGCTGGGGCAGTGCTTTCTGGAGCTAGAGTTCTGCTTTGGGTATTAGCAGTCTTTTGCCTAAGGCAGTTGGCACCCTGAGAAGGGTTTAACAGGTATCTCACAGGGAGTAAGTCTTTTCAGCCCTGAACACATCAGCACATTTCAAGAAAAAAAAGTTTTTCAAAAGGGTGTTTACAGCAAGAATGATCAGTAACAGTGCTTTAACAATATTTAACAATGCTCAAACAGTGCTTAACTTTCATCCTAATGTCCCAGGGAGAAGTATGTTCCTACTATCTTCTTCAGGGGTACCCTGACACTCATGATTTAGTTCTGTTAAATGCCTACATTCTCATCAACTTGATCAAAGGAGAATTGAGGTTTTAATTGCCTGACACAAAGTAAGGAGTAGAAAAATATTGAGGGAGTAAAGAGAACCTAATTAATTTTAATTTAAACTACCCGAGCATAACACTAATTTTTTTTCAGTCTAGCCTGATGCAATGTCTGTATCCAATCTATAAACGCATTTTTCCCCAAATAAATAACATCTGTTTGGGAACTGTCAAAAAGTTCTTAGATAATTTAACAGGTTACTTCACTAATACAATTTAAACTTTTCAGGAAAAGTGAGGAGAAAAGTAAAAGACTGTTTCACCACAAGGAAAGGGAAACTTTCTTTAAATGATGAAAATTATTGCACAAAAAATGTACTAATAGGGAAATGGCACTAGCGAGACACTAATAGGTTTCTGCAGTAGATGAAGTTTTAACCATCTAAAATCATGTTTTTTGTTTTAAACTAAAACAAAAGGCCCTTTTTACTGTTTGCCAGGTACATTTCTTATCACATTTACTCATTGCAGCACGTTTTAACGCTCAGAACAACGGCATTAATACGTGGTAGTTATCACTTACATAGGAAGGACAGAGAAGTTGAGCCCCAGGTCACAGTTTGCACGCAGAATTATCGTTACTTGAGTCTAGTTTCCAGAGTCCCAGGTCTTAAACAGTCTACTGTTATTTTTTATCAACTCTGGGATTCCATTAAACTTTGATTTAAGGGAAAAAAAAAAAAAAAGGATTTCGCTTGTTTATCCTTAATCCCAGCTCTGTAGAGACTGGAGGCAAGAGGTTCGCGAGTTTGAAGCCAGCCCGGGATGCATAGCGAGGTAGAGCCCAGCATGGGATTCTTCATAAGACCGTGACTCAAAAACCAAAACCAAAATAAAATAAAAATCGTGTGTGTGTGTGTAAGAAGTACTCCGACACGACACAGTTTAGATATATATTTAAACAAAATTTTTGAAAAAAAAAAGCAATCCCTCATATGAGTGGAGAGCCAGAAGAAAGGGAGTGGAGAGCCAGAGGAAGGGGTGGGATACAAAAGCAATCTAGAAATATTCAAAAACAAATGTTTATCCTCACCCCAACTACCAGCCATCCCCCAACATCCTGCAGAAAATTTTAAGCCAATGTCCTCGGCTTGTGGGCGGGACTCGGCGGGTCGTGGGAGCCCGCGTCCAGGGCGCATGCGCACAACGCGACGTCGGCTCCAGTGCGCCCGTAGCCACGCCCTCTCTGCCCGCAAGGGCTGCCGGGACGGTCCCCATCTTTGAGCGCTTTTGGCCAGCCGGCGGCGCAGGAAAGTAGGGACATTTCTGTCGTCGTTACTGAGCCTGTGGTGCGTCTGTGGAGACTGGACTTTAAAGGTGAGCCTCTACGAGGCTAATGAAAAGGTACAAAAGAGTCTGCTTTGCTTGGCGCGTTCCTCTTCTTGCTGCTTCCCGCGGAGCGCGTCTGCTTGTCGCCTCCCTCGCGTTCCAGCCGAACGCCGCGTGGGCCGCGGGCTGGGCTGGGAGCCGAGGGGGCGCGGGGCGCGACCGCGGTGGACTCGGCCTCTGCAAGGAATGCGGGTCCCCGGGGCTCCCACGTGGCTTCGGCCCAAGTGATCAGTGTTGCTGTCGGACGCGGCGCTGGCGGGGTCTTTGGGTATAAGCTGCTCACAACCCCACTGCGCCCTTTGGGTTTCTAAACCCCACCGTTTTCCAGCCTCGCCGAAGGCAGATGTTTTTTGCACCGTGTCGGGAGAGCTCTGCGGGGTAAATGCCAGAGGGTTCCTGGAGCCTGTGGGGACTTAATGAAGGCCAAAGGTGGGGCCGAAGGTGTACCCCAGCATTACTTTTTGGGCTTTAGGACCTCATTCACTCCCAGCAAGGCTGCTTCTGTGTGAAGTGGGAGCGTACGTAACGTCTCACTTCTAGTTAATACGCTCTGACAAAGTACCTGATGAAAAGATTCCAAAATTGGGTAGGCCGCAGAAGTGTTGCAAGGACTACCTATTTCTTCTAGGTCATTTGCTTGCTTTATAAAGCAAGCGTAAAGGTACCCTGTGGTTTTACATGGTGGTAAGCAAACCAATGCATAGAACCAAGTCGGTTCTGTAGTGGAAGGTGTGCCGTGTAGAACCCCACTGCAGGAGCTTCCGGTGGATATCCAGGCTGTTAAATATCAAATTCAGTGTATCAAGCGATGCCTCCCGAAAGTGCACCAACAATAACTCATCGCTAGTGCTGCTGGCCACGAATTCTTCCTACATACTTTTGTACAATAAGGATGACTGAGTGGCTTAGTAGAGCACTGGAAACAAGTAATTTGAAGTTAGAAGACTTGGTTTGTGAGTTCTAGTAAATCAGCATCCCAGCGTCCTTTTTTCTCCTTGCATTGCTAATATCACGCTGTGAAACAGGAAGTCAGCTACAAAGTTAACCAATGTATTAGTGCCTTAGTAGGCATACTTGACCCATCTCCCACCCCACCCCAGTTTAAAGTTGTTTTAGCATGTCCATGTTCTCAAATTTTCATTTTGCATATATTCTTTAATGTACAATAGTTAACTTAACCCCCAAAACCTTAATTTTTGGAATTTTTTCACCTCTGCTGATAAGCTTTTGGTAAGTCAGCTGTAAGTAATTTTAAAAGAAATACAGCCCACACTGAATAGCGCTGAGAGCCATAGTGATATACCAACGGGTATACTGTATATCTGTTTAAAACTGGAAGTGGTTGAGCAGGTTTTTTTCCCTGAAGCTTGCTTCACCAATTAAATGAAGATAAGTGATTTTTCTGTTATAGAAGAGGAGGCAGGTTGTTGATAGTTCTTCAATTGTTGGGATATTTGAGAATTGAGTAGGGAAACAACCTGTAAAATAAGAAATGTTTGGCTTTTAAGAAAGCAATGACATACTAATAATTTTCAAACATTTTCTTTCTGTTCTTGAGTATTAATGTAAAAAGTAAAATAACTTCTCTCTGCCAATTTGGGAAAAACTGCAGCTAGCCACGATGGCTGAAAATGGTGATAATGAAAAGGCTGTTCTGGAGACCAAAATCTGTCATCAAATCGAGGTACGACTTTTGTGTTATAAACTGTAAAATCAAGTTCCTTGAAAGGAAATTTGGGGCATCAAACAACAGAAAGAACATTTATATCCTTTCAGTATATGGACCTACTAAAACACTTGGCTTTTCTTTGATTCATAGAATTAGATGAACATACAGTATACAGTTAGAAACTCGAGCACTACAAACACTAAAGACTGTTATTACTTAACCTGCTCTCTCCCCACTGGGCTTTGAACTCAGGGCCTTGAGCTTGCTAGGCAGCCACTCTTCCACTTGAGCCATGGGGTCTGTGTCTGGCAAGGTCTCACTGTGCAGCCCAAACTGGTTGGCCTCTAACTTGAGAAATCTGCCTCAGACTCGGCCTGTACCACTATGCCTAGCATTTAACTATTTTTTACTTCAGTTCTCCTACTCTGTAAAATGGGGATAACAGTAGTACCATCTCAGAAAGGTGGTTTGGAAAATTAAATTAGTTAATAAGATGTAAAATAGAATGCCTGGCACATTATAAGATAACAGAAATTCACGGTCAGGCACTTTCCCTGTTAAATAACACTTTAGATCCGATCCTTGAACTGACAATATATATTTTCATAGTCCTGTTAGGTATTATGTTTAGGTTGAAGCTTTAATGGTATCAACCATAGCTGCATGGGAAAATTTCCCTAAATAAAAATGTGGAAAAAACATAAAACATGACAGACCATTCTGTGTTTTAATTCTTAGAACAATTCAAAGATGTATATAGAAAAGATTAATAATGTCTCTCTACAATCTGCCCCATCTGAAGTCCCATCCTTTTGAGATAATCAAGGCTGTGAGATGGGCACCGGGGGCTCACCTATAATCTTCCTTACATGAGAGGTTGAGAATGGGAGGATCCAGGTTTAAGACCATTCTGACCTAATAGTTTGCAAGACCCCATTTCCAAAATAATTGGAACAAAATGGACTGGAGATGTGGCTCAAGCAATAGAGTGCCTGCTTTGCAAGTGCAAGGCCTTGAGTTCAAACCCCAGTTCCACCAAAAAAAAAAAAAAAAGCCAGGCTGGGCGTGGTGGTGCACACATGTAATCTCAGCTGCTTGAAGGCAGTGGTCAGGAGCATAGCAATTTGAGGCCAGCCTGGGCAAAAGAGTTAGCGAGACCCATTTCAACAAATAAAACAGTCATAGTGGCTTGTCTGTAATTGAAGCTATGTGGGATCAATGTCTAAGGCCAGTGCTGGGCAAAAATGCAAGACTGTCTGAAAAATACAGCAAAAAAGGGCAGGATGTGGTTCAGGGGTAGAGCACCTGCCTCGCAAGCTTGAGATCCTGAGTTCAAACACCAATACTGCAAAAAAAGAAAGACAGCCTTTCACATTTTGCTCCAAATAGTAGAATATTTCTAAAAAAAAAAAAGGCCTTATTTTTTTAGAGCAGTGTTAGTTTCAAAGCAAAATTGTACAAAGGTATAGAGATTTTCCAAACATACCACCAATGTGGTATGTAACTAGCATAATTTTTTTCCTTCCCCCATCAAAAATGAGATGCATTTTTACGTAATAAAGTTTTGTGTCATCAATATTTTATCCATCCCCCTGAATATGTAGGATCTTTTTAATTTTTTTAAACTAAGTTATGTGGTTAATATTCTTTATATAAATCTTGTAAACAGGTTTCCTGATTTAAGATAAAATTCCTAGGAAGAATGCATTGACTCAAGAGCCTGTACATTTTTAGAAATTTTGGTTTTTACATCACTACCTGCATTATCATTTCAGAGGTATTCTTATTTCTTTATTGCAGTACTGAGGATCGAACACATTGCCTCATGCATGCTAGGCAAGTGCTCTACCACTGAACTACATCCCCAAACCCCACATTCCCCCCTCCCCTTTTTTTTTTTTTTTAAAGATTTTTTAGCCAGTTAGGTGAAGAATATTGTCTCATTGCTTTCTGTTGTATTTCTAAATGTCCTTTACCTATTTTTCTGTGTACATTTTAATTTTTTTTTCCTTCCACCTTATTTATGAGAATCTTAACAAATGTGTTTGCCTTTTTCCTTTTATACTACCTTTGACATTCTAATAGTCATCCTTGTAGATTTTTGGCAGGATTTTTGAGGATTGACTCCAGGGCCTCAAAATATGCTTTCTATACTGATTAGAAACAGGATGTTTTTCATATAATAAATATTTTTAAGGTTTTCTACTTTAGTGACACATTTGTTAATTATACTATTTTTGTAGTCAATTTTTAGTTTTATGTTTTTGTTCATTTGTATTATGTCTATTTAATTATAGTGTATTTAGGAAAAATGTTTCTTGCCTCTTGTAAATTACAACATTTTTAAAGAACAGAACTTGGTAAGGTAATGGCAGTTTAAAAAAATTCCAGGGTTGAACTCAGTATTTTATAATGCTCTGAAATATATTGTAATTATCTCACAGTATTATTTTGGAGACTTCAATTTGCCACGGGACAAATTTTTAAAAGAACAGATCAAATTGGATGAAGGATGGGTACCTTTGGAAATTATGATCAAATTCAACAGGTAAGAATTTTTATGTTCATTTTCATTGTGGGGATTGCATTCAGGACCCTGACCATGCACTCTGCCATTGAGTTACACTCCCATCCCAAAAGCCTTTTAAAAGTCACTTACATTTTATGTAAATAATGAGTACCACTATTAAGTCTTACAACATTCCTATGTATATACTCCTTAGATTAAACCGCCTAACAACAGACTTTAATGTAATTGTGGAAGCACTGAGCAAATCTAAAGCAAAACTCATGGAAATCAGTGAAGATAAAACTAAAATCAGAAGATCACCAAGCAAACCCCTCCCTGAAGTGACTGATGAGTACAAAAATGATGTGAAAAACAGATCTGTTTATATTGTAAGTGGGTCTTTAATGTATTGAGTATCTTACATTTACTTAGAAAGAAAATATATGGAGTGATAAGGGTAAGAGCTAAGGAATCAGTATCCCTACCTACTGTATGTCCTGTGCAGTGTTCTTAACCTCTGTAGGCTGTATATTTATAAATGTAGATGATATTTTCTACTTACTTGAGCTGTTGTGAGGTTTATTTTTTGTGGGACTGGGGTTTGAACTTGGGGCCTCCAGCTTGCTAGGCAGGCACTCTGCTGCTTGAGCCACACCTCCATTCCATTTTGCTTTGGTTATTTTGGAGATGGGGGTCTCATGAACCATTTGCAAAGGCTAGCCTCGAACCTCAATCCTCCTAATCTCAGCCTCCCAAGTAGCTAGGATTATAGGTGTGAGCCACTATCGCCCAGCTGTAAATAATGTTTTTATCTTTGCTCCAGCTGAATAATTTTGAACCAAATCTCAGAAGAGTCACTTTTATTGCACTTCAGAATAAGGCTGTTAAATGTTTATGAGAGAGGAATAGATACGTGTATTGAGGCTTCATTTCAAGACAGAATAAATTAGAATTTCTGAGGAACTGTTTACTAAAGAAGTCATTAATTCTACACATCTCACTATTTACAGAAAGGCTTTCCAACTGATGCAACCCTTGATGACATAAAGGAATGGCTAGAAGTTAAAGGTCAAGTACTAAATATTCAGATGAGAAGAACATTGCACAAAGCATTTAAGGTATGATTGTATGATGATATAGGCTGCTTCTAGTTATATATAGAACATACCTTTTTTTTTTTTTTAAAGAAAAAAATCTTTTCCTCCTTTTTTATAGGGATCAATATTTGCTGTGTTTGATAGCATTGAATCTGCTAAGAAGTTTGTGGAGACCCCTGGCCAGAAATACAAAAACACAGATCTGCTAATACTTTTTAAGTAAGTCTTTTTGCTGATGTTTATTCTGGCCACTTAGTTATTTGGAATTAACACAGGGGTAAGGTGCATGGGATAACATCCCTTTTAAGGCTGGCATTTTTTGTATCCTTAGGCAACCTTTGAGAAATGCCTGAAAAATGTTCAGTGGAAACTGTACTAGACTTTGAGGAGAAAAAGAAAGTGTTTAGTACTACCTTTTCACTATTAATAACTAGTAAGAAAAATTGTTTTAGTACTTTGTGTACTAAAATTTGGGCTTTTTGTATGGAGAATAAGTCACCATTTTGTCTTTCGTAGATTAAACCGTCTAACATAGGCATATATTTTAATGTAGTACAAAGTATTGATTTAGATCACATTCTTGTATGTCTTAAAAGTGACCATGAGCTAGGTGGGTGATGCACACCTCGTAGTCCTGTCCTCTTGGAGTCTCAGCACTTGGAATGCCGAGGCAGGAGGATGTCAAGTTTAATGCTAGCCTGAGCTATTTAGTGAGACCCTGTCTCAACAACAAAAAAGAACTGGGAATTTTCATGATGAAGTTACAGGGCCATAGTACCCTGTCTTTGATTATATAGCCCTTGGAGATGCACTGTGATGATGAATAGTGTTATCAGCATTAAATACTGAATTTTGTGTGTTTGTGTTGGAAAGGGTCTTGCTGTTGACCTGGAACTTGAGATCCTCATGCCTTAGTTTCCTGAGTGGTGGGGATTACAGATGTGCCACCATGCCAGGCTTCCAAAATTATTACTATTTTTTTCTTTTAGGTATTGTTTCAGATAGAACCCCATATTTTTGCCCACAGCCAGTCTCAGACCACAGTCCTCTTACCTGTGCTTCCTGCATGCACCACCATGCCTCATTTGTTGATTGAGAGGGAATCTAGCTGTGATCTTCCTGATCTCCACCTCCTAAGTAACTATGATTACAGGGTGTTTGCTACAATGCCCAACTCGAAAATTATTTTTTCATGTGATTTTTATAATACTGTTATTGAGTGTTAGGGAGCTTAGAATTTTTCTCCTTTTGTGAAATTAACGTTATAGAAAACTATGAAACATTAAAGTGCTTGCTTGAGTTTGACTTTTTTTTCTATACATGAATGATAGATGAAAGCCAGCGTGAGACTGTTCATGAGTACAGGCTTTTTGTAGGAGTCATGAAAATGTTCTACAACTTACAGTGATAGTTGTACAGCTCTGGATATACTACTAAAAACAATTAGGTACATTTTTAAAGGGTAAGTTTTATGGCATGTGCATTTTGTCTTTGTACATGTGTTCAAACAAAAAAGTAACTTCTTTGACGTATTTTGAATTTTTAGATGATCATTTTTATAGAAAATATATATAATTGGCTGGCACCAGTGCCTCATGCCTGCAATCCTAGCTACCCAGGAGGTAGAGATCAGGAGGATCACGGTTTGAAGCCAGCCGAGGCAAATAGTTGGCGAGACCCTGTCTCAAAAAACTCTTCACAAAAATAGGGCTGGTGGAGTGGCTCAAAGTGAAGGCCCTGAGTTTAAGCCCCAGTACCACCAAAAAAAAAAAAAAAGAGAAAATGTGTAAAATGTGTGTGATAGAGCTGGGCAAATTGGCACATGCCTGTATTCCCAGCACCCCCAAAACTCAGGCAGAGGACCTCAAGTTCAAGACCATCCTGGGCTACGTAGTAACACCTTGTCTCACAACAGATGTACAGAATGTGTGTGTAAGTCCTTGATATGTCATGTCCTAAATTATTCAAAATAATTTTTTTTTTTTTGGCTGTGTTGGTATTTGAATTCAGGGCCTCACACTTGATAGGCAGGCGCTTTACCACTTGGGCCACTCTGCCAGCCCTCATTCAAAATAATTTTCTCTTTACAACATTAGCCTTTGTATTTTGTGTTCTTTAGGGAAGATTACTTTGCAAAGAAAAATGAAGAAAGAAAGCAAAACAAAGTGGAAGCTAAATTAAAAGCTAAACAGTAAGTATGTTGAACTAATTGTGACATTTGAATTTCTTAAAACTTTGACAAGTTAGAATTAGTGGTTGTGGGAAAAGATGATGAGCTGTGAAGTGAATAGTAACTGGTCTGTGTATTGGTTGTGAAATACTGAGTTTAAGCTGTCTTGATAATCTGGAGGGCATTAGTTTGTAGTATAGCATTAGATCAGAAAATCTAAGGACTAGCTGTGGTTATTGAGTAGTTTAGTGGTAATGGTCAAGGTTATTAGGATTTAATTTTCTCATACAGTTAAGTATAAATAAACATAACTATATTTATTTGTAGAGAACAAGAAGAAAAACAAAAATTGATTGGAAATGCTGAAATGGTAAGTATGTAGTACTGATATCTAATACATACATAATTGAAGTTAGAACAGCTAAACTTCTGATATGTGGTTGTTTTTAAGAAACTTTGTGATTATCTTTGTGTATTTTCATAGAAATCGCTAGAAGAAAAGATTGGATGCTTGCTGAAATTTTCAGGTGACTTAGATGACCAGACCTGTAGAGAAGATTTACACATCCTTTTCTCAAATCATGGTGAAATAAAGTGGATAGACTTTGTCAGAGGAGCAAAAGAGGTTTGGAAACATTCATATTCTTTAGCAATCAGCTTAAAAGCCCATAAAAGTTTCTTTTTTAGAAGATAAAATTAGTAGAAAGCAATTTTAGTTGTGTTGCTTATAATAGTTTCTGTTTTATGATTTACTTTTCATTTTGTTAGTCCTGTTCTTGATGTGATGGCTAGTATTTTCTGATTTATATGATAAATAACTGTTGGCATTGGTGGCTGATTTACTTTTGTAGTATTCCTTTTCTATTGTTCAGTAAAATTAATTGAAACTAATAATGATACTTTGCCAGATAGGAAAAACTACTTTGAACAGGGAAAATTAACTGTTGGACTACAAATTTAAGGATATGACTTTAATTTTTTCTCTTTGATGTGTAGGGAATAATTCTATTCAAAGAAAAAGCCAAGGAAGCACTGGATAAAGCCAAAGATGCAAATAATGGTAACTTACAATTAAGGAACAAAAAAGTGACTTGGAAAGTACTCGAAGGAGAGGCGGAAAAAAAAGCATTGAAAAAAATCATAGAAGATCAACAAGAGTCCCTAAACAAATGGAAATCAAAAGGTCATTTATTCTGATTTTTCTTTAATAGTTTGGTTATTTTACCTCATTTGATAGAATAAAAATTTTAGTTTTCAAAAATGTTGACAACATATTTAAAATATTTTCTAAGTTCTTAATTATGACTCCAGGTCGCAAATTTAAAGGAAAAGGAAAGGGGAATAAGCCTGCCCAGCCTGGGTCTGCTAGAGGAAAAGTACAGTTTCAAGGCAAGAAAACCAAATTTGATAGTGATGATGAGAAGGGTGGAGCTGGTAAGTTTTTTTCTGAGTGCTTTGGTAGTTTCATAAGAAATTTATACTTTCCTGAGAAATTACTTAACAGAGAGAACAGGAATGTGGTTTTTCACCTTTATAAATGACATTCTTGGATTGTTATGACTTAGGCTGTTTTACAAATGGGTGGTACAGGATATTTGGAAGATGACTGTAGCTATCAGGTCTGTGCCAAAGGAGAAGCCTTTCCCGTTGGTGTAGGGAAGTTGTTGGCTAATTCTTTTAATTATTAATAATTGTGCCCCCTACTAAATACAGCAGTGCTTATATTCAACAAAAAAAATTTTTTTTTTTTTTTTTTGTACAGGACCAGTGAAAAGAGCAAGAAAAGGAACAGACAGAGAAGGACCTGCCTCAAAACAACAGAAAACAGAAAATGGTGCTGGAGACCAGTAGTTTAGTAAACAAATTTTTTTATTCATCCTAGGTTTTAAGCTGCTTTTTCTTTGGAGGCTTTTAAAAAGAAAAACGAATTAGGTCCACTTCAATGTCCACCTGTAAAAAATGAAGATTTTTTGGTTATTTGTCTTTTTTGTTGTTATCCAAACGAGAATTTTTTTAAGTGCATAATTCTGTTTGTGCTCAGATGATTCAAATATGAATATGAGAGCGTATTAGTACAAACTTATAAATATACACTGTATAAAAACAGTAAAAAGCTTTTTTTTTTTTTTTCATTTTTGTGCCCCTAAAACATTTGCGAAAAAACTTCAACTAGAGTATTGGCTGTTGAGTATGGACCCAACCCAAGATGATTAATCTCTTAGGCTGGCTTTCTGTTTACCCAGGCAAATTGAAACAGTGGAAATAACTACATACTGCAAAGCTTTTCAATACTGAATGTACACAGGCCAGAATCAAGAGACTTACTGATTTCTTTTTATGAAAGTTGTATAATGCTGGCAGGTCATATCGAAGCTCTGTAAAACAAAAACCACCTAACAGTAAAGTTATTTCCAAACATTTACCACCCTTTAAGAAAGTACTGAATGCTGGTAGGCCTAACATTTTAGACCTGTCACTTTAACTTTTCCAAGTACTAAATGGCATTTCTGTTGTTTGCCATTTATAATAAAATTTGAAGTTATGGGAAGAGTTTTTAGGAGTGGAAAAAAAATATATCCTACAAAAATGATAGGACTTTTCTATTTTTAATTTCCTAGTAATGTACAGATGGCTTAATTTCATAATAACCATGCTTATCTCAAAATTGTCTTGTCTAGATTTTAGTAATAGTAAAGTCCCTAATTATTTTTCTACTAAGCTCTAAAATGAAAACCCATTTTTTCATATTCTTTCCTTCTAAATAATGCTATGGAATGATTTTAGAAGGAGGCAGTCATCTACCTATCCTTCATATTTTGCAGAATAAATTCTAACCCTATAGGTCACAACTCTGGTATTTTAATGTGCAATCAAATCACCTGGGATCTTGTTGAGATGTGGATTGTGAATCAATAGGTCTTGGTGGAGCCTGTAAGTCCCTATTTTTAACAAGCTTCCAGGTCCGATTCATTTTATTAAGGTATTTCTAGTTTTTTTAATGCTCTCCCCACTCTTTCCGTAATTCTTACTGTTACTGTTTTGCAGTGCTAGGAATCAAGTGCTCTAGCATGGAGCTGCATCCCCTGCCCTGTTAACAAGCTTCCAGGAATGTCCCTGCTAATGAATGGTCTGAAGACCACATGTAGAGTATACCAGAGTTCTGGTTTGGTTACTGTTGGGACTATTCTAAAGTGCTCCATACTGCACACTGTAATACCTTAAACTGCACAGGAATGACAATAATGAATATAACAGAAAATCAGCAGGTCTTTTAAATATCCCATTGATAATTATGAACAGTAATATATCTAGATGTTTTAATACCATGGGGCCAATTCATGATAAGTTTATTATGTAAAAAAGTGTTCTCTCATGACATTTTTATTTTAGGCTTTTCAAAATTGTTTGGATTATAGTCAGCCTCTAGTTTTGTTTTTCCTGTTGTGATGTTTGTGAATATTATTCAGTTTAGTAAAAAATGTATCAAACATGATTGCTTACAGTGTGCATTTTTTTCTATCTCCCACCAAAAAGGAAAAAGATGTGTTTTGATTCAACAGGCAATTAGAAGACTGAAATGGAAAGGTTAATGCATAAACTGGTGGCATTTTCCATGAGTGAATTTCAAACCATGCCCTTGGAAGTGCTAGGCAGCACTCTTTATCACTTGAGCTATGCTCCTACCCTTTTGTCTTTATTTTTTGAGACGGGGTGTTACCATCATTTTTGTGCTAGCTGGCCTCCAATTCTTTTGACTAAGCAAGATTATAGGCATATGCCACAACACATGTTTGAAGCCCATGTTTTTAACTCACTGGAATAATACATATAACCGTGTAGTAACCAAATACCTTAGTACTACTACAAATTTTCAGTAAAATGCCTAAATTGGGACAGATTTGGGCAAACCTTGATCAGTGTTTCCCCTGCATTTTACAGCATTTTCCATCCACCACCACTCATGCACATTTTACCACACTGAAAAACATTCTATAGTATTTTTTTCAATGCCTGTATAAAAATTTTTGGTTGAGTAAATGCCTACTGATGCTTTTGGACAATTAAGGTTGAGATTTATCTTACCTGCAATAATGTCTATCTTGATTTTCCATTCTGCAGCTTTCTTTTGAATATGCTAAACACAGATAACATTTTCATATTAGTTGATTTTTATTATTTTTTAAAACTGCCTTTTACTAATACTTGAGATTAAGTTTTCAAATAATTTTTCCTGAGAAAGTGACTTACAATGTAAGATTGAAAGGAAAAATAAAAAAATAAAAAATAAAAATTTGAGGAATTTCAATTAGATGACCACTGTTTTAAAAATCAGAAATTAAGTTACTGATGAAACCCAAATTTTACACAGTTAAAGTGATAAAAACCTTTCAGAAATCCACCAAAATATATAATGTAAAGTTTCTGCAGAATAAATTCATTAACACATACTACTAGTTACCTTCCTGGGAACTGTTTAGCAGAGATCTATGTCCACAGACAATTCTGTGACAGAACAACATAGTTAAGAGGACCCTCTCTGCAGCTTGACTGCTTGCATTTGAACTGCAGATCTAGCTATATATGTAACCCTGGGCAAATCACTCATTCTGTGCCTCAGTTTCCTCATCTGCTAAATGAAGTTAATTTTATCAGATTGTTGTAGACTATGAAAAATGTTTTCAACTATACTGCCACATATAGCACCAAATAATGTTAGTTTTTTTTTTCTTTTATTCATATGTGCACACAATGTTTGGGTCATTTCTCTGCCAGTCCCCCCTCTCCCTCCCACCCCCTCCCTACCAAGCAGAAACTATTTTGCCCTTATCTCTAATTTTGTTGAAGAGAGAGTATAAGCAATAATAGGAAGGACCAAGTGTTTTTGCTAGTTGACATAAGAATAGCTATACAGGGAGTTTACTCGAATTGCTTTCCTGTATATCTGTGTTACATTCTAAATTAATTCTTCTCGAACTAACCTTTTCTCTAGTTCCTGGTCCCCTTCTCCTATTGGCCTCTGTCACTTTAAAGTTTCTGCATTAGTTCCTTTGCATTGAAGACATCAAATGCTTTTTTTTCCTTTTTTTTTGGGTTTCTTGCCTATCCTCATACCTCCCTTGTGTGCTCTCGCCTCATCATGTGATCAAAGTCCAATCCCCTTGTTGTATTTGCCCTTGATCTAAAGTCTGCATATGAGGGAGAACATATGATTTTTGGTCTTCTGGGCCTGGCTAACCTCGCTCCGGATAATGTTCTCCAGTTCCATCCATTTACCTGCAAATGATAAGATTTCATTCTTCTTCATGGCTGAGTAAAATTCCATTGTGTATAGATATACCACATTTTCTTAATACATTCATCAATAGTGGAGGATCTTGGCTGTTTCCATAACTTGGAATAGCGCTGCAATAAACATGGCTGTGCAAGTGCCTCTGGAGTAACCTGTGTCACAGTCTTTTGGGTGTATCCCCAAGAGTGGTATTGCTGGATCATATGGTAGATCTATGTTTAGATTTTTAAGAAGCCTCCAAGTGTTTTTCCACAGTGGTTGTACTAGTTTGCATTCCTACCAGCAGTGTATAAGTGTTCCTTTTTTCCCACATCCTTGCCAACACCTGTTGCTGGTGTTTCTAATGATGACTATTCTAACAGGGGTGAAGTGGAATCTTAGTGTGGTTTTGATCTGCATTTCCTTAATGGCTAGAGATGGTGAGCATTTTTTCATGTGTTTTTTGGCCATTTGAATTCCTTTTGAGAAAGTTGTTTAGTTCACTTACCCATTTCTTTCTGGTTCATTAATTTTGTGAGTTTAGTTTTTTGAGTTCCCTATAAATTCTGGTTATCAGTCCTTTGTCTGATATATAGCTGGCAAATATTTTCTCCCACTCTGTGGGTGGTCTGTTCAGTTTAGAGACCATTTTTTTTGTTGAGCAGAAGCTTTTTAGTTTTATGAAATCCCATTTGTCTATGCTATCTCTTAGTTGCTGAGCTGCTGGGGTTCCACTGAGAAAGTCCTTGCCTATATCTATTAGTTCCAAAGTATTTCCTACTCTTTCCTGTACCAACCTTAGAGTTTGGGCTCTGATATTAAGATCCTTGATCCATTTTGAGTTAATACTGGAATAGGGTGATAAACATGGATCTACTTTCAGTTTTGTGCAGACTGCTAACCAGTTTTCTCAGCAGTTTTTGTTGAAGAGGCTGTCTTTTCTCCATCGTATATTTTTAGCTCCTTTGTCAAAGACAAGTTGGTTATAGTTGTGTGGCTTCATATCTGGATACTCTGTTCTGTTCCACTGGTCTTCATGTCTGTTTTTCTGCCATGCTGTGTTTATTGCTATTGCTTTGTATATAGTTTGAAGTTGAGTATCATGATACCTCCAGCGTTGTTCTTTTTGCTGAGTATTGCCTTGGCTATTCGTGGCCTCTTGTGTTTCCAAATACATTTTTCAATCTCTTAGATGAATGTCATTGGGATTTTGATGGGAATTGCATTAAACACGTAAATTGCTTTTAACCATTTTTACTATGTTGATTCTACCAATCCATGAGCATGGGAGATCTCTCCACTTTCTATAGTCTTCCTCAATCTTTCTTCAGGAGTTTATAGTTTTCCTTGTAGAGGTCTTTCACATCCTTTGTTATGTTTACTCCTAGGTATTTGATTTTTTTTTGAGGCTATTGTAAATGGAATTGTTTCCATATATTCTTTCTAAGTTCATTATTAGTGTATAGAAATGCTAATAATTTTTCTATGTTGATTTTATATCCTACTACCTTGCTATAGCTGTTGATGGTGTTGAGGAGCTTTTGAGTAGAGTGTTTTGGGTCTTTAAGGTATAGGATCATGTAGTCTGCAAATAGGGATACTTTGACTATTTCTTTACCTATTTGTATTCCTTTTATTCCTTCTTGTTGCCTAATTGCTCTGGCTAGGAATTCCAGTACTGTGTTGAATAGGAGTGGGGATAGTGGGCATCCTTGTCTTGGTCCTGATTTTAGAGAGAATGGTTTCAGGTTTTCACCAATAAGTATAATGCTGGTTGTAGGTTTCTCATATATAGCTTTTAAAACGTTGAGGTACTTTCCTTCTATTCCTAGTTTTCTTAGAGCTTTTATCATGAGATGGTGTTGGATATTATCAAAGGCTTTTTCTGCATCTATTGAGATGATCAAGTGGTTTTTGTCTTTGCTTCTGTTAATGTGGTGTATTACATTCATTGTTTTTTGTATGTTGACCCACCTCTGCATTCCTGGGATGAAGCCTACTTGGTCGTGGTTAATGATCTTTTTGATGTGTTGTTGAATTTGGTTTGCCATTATTTTATTGAGTATTTTTGCATCAGTGTTCATTAAGGGGATTGGCCTATAGTTCTCTTTTTAGAGGTGTCTTTGCCTGGTTTTGGGATAAGTGCAATACTTGCTTCATAAAATGTGCTAGGCAGTTTTCTTTCCCTTTCTATTTCGTGGAACAGTTTAAGGAGGGTTGGTATTAGTTCTTCTTTAAAGGATTCTATTTGCTAATAGAATTCAGCAGAGAATCCATCAGGTCCTGGACTTTTCTTTTTTGGGAACTCTTGATTGCTGCTTCAATTTCATTTTGTGTTATAGATCTATTCAGATGATTAATGTCCTCTTGGTTCAGTTTTGGATGATCATAAGTATCTAGAAATCTGTCCATTTCTTCAAGATTTTCAAATTTATTTGAATATAGGTTCTCAAAATAGTCTCTGATGATATCCTGGACTTCCATGGTGTTTGTTGTTATCTCCCCTTTTGCATTCCTGATTTTACTGATTTGGGTTTTTTCTCTCCTCATTTTAGTCAGGTTTGCAAGGGGTCTATTGATCTTGTTTATTTTTCAAAGAAACAACTTTTTGTTTCATTAATTCTTTGTATGGTTTTTTTTTTTTTTGGTTTCTATTTCATTGATTTCAGCTCTTATTTTTATTATTTCTCTCCTATTTGTTTTGGCATTTGCTTATTCTTGTTTTTCTCGGAGTTTGAAATCTATCATTAGATCACTGATTTGGGATCTTTCAGTCTTTTTAATATATGCACTCATGGCTATAAACTTTCCTCTCAGGACTGCCTTTGCTGTGTCCCATAGGTTCCGGTAGGTTGTGTTTTCATTTTCATTGACTTCCAGGAACCTTTTAATTTCCTCTTTTATTTCATCAATGACCCATTGTACATTAAGCAATGAGTTGTTCATTTTCCAGCTGTTTGCATGTTTTTTGTCTTTACTTTTGTTGTTGAGTTCTAGTTTTATTGCATTGTGATCAGAGAGAATGCATGGTATAATTTCTATTTTCTTATATTTGCTGAGGCTTGCTTTGTGCCCTAGGATATGATCTTCTTTGGAGAAGGTTCCGCAGGCTGCTAAGAAAAATGTATATTGTGTAGAAGTTGGATGAAATGTTCTGTAGACATCAACTAGGTCCATTTGATCTATGGTATGTTTTAGATCTAGGATTTCTTTATTGATTTTTTTTTTGTTTGGATGACCTACCTATTGATGATAGTGGGGTGTTAAAGTCTCCTACTACCACTGTGTTGGAGTTAATATATACTTTTAAGTCCTTCAGGGTATGCTTGATGAAACTGGGTGTGTTGACATTGGGTGTATATAGGTTGATAATTGTTATTTCCTTTTGGTCTATTTCCCCTTTTATTAGTATGGAATGCCCTTCTTTATCTCATATGATCAATGTAGGTTTGAAGTCTACTTTGTCCTAGGTTAGTATTGTTACTCCTGCCTGTTTTTTGGGGCCATTGGCTTGGTAAATCTTCTTCCAGCCTTTCATTCTAAGCCTATGCTTATTTCTGTCAATGAGATGGGTCTCCTGTAAGCAAGAAATTGTTGGATCTTCCTTTTTAATCCAGTTTGTCAAATGGTGCCTTTTGATGGGGTAGTTATATCCGTTAACATTAAGTGTTAGTATTGATAGGTATGTGGTGATTCCTGTCATTTATTGGTCTTAATTGTTTGAGGGTTTGATTGTGTGTAGCTAAATTGATGTTACTCTCTACTTTCTTCTGTTTCTTTTCCTGTAGTTTGGTACTGCCTGCCCTTTCATGGTTATGTTGGGTTTCACTTTCTGTGTGCAGAATCCCTTGAAGAATCTTTTGTAG